AATTTCCCACAATGTTCTTGATAATTAAAGAGGACAAACTAAATGCCATTCCTATGAAAAGCCACTCAGATAACTTGTCTCTTTCTGTCACTCCTTCCTATAGAAATATCTTGTGCATGCTGTTCTTATAATGGCTGCTTCTCTGTATTTTATATCTCTCATCTTCAATCTTATATTTTCTTTCTTCTTTCTGCCTTTTAACTAAATACAGAGAGAAAAGTGTCCTTCGGTTTCTCAATATGAAGCCTTTATTTCTGAAGTAACAAGACACCCAACTATAGAAATCATTTTTTAAAATCTTTAAGGAGACTTTATACAACCCTGCGTGACTAGATCAGGCAAGAAATACAAACCTTCATTCCTTCCTTGAATCAAGGAGCACTACTGGAGTCAACTGCCAAAATTTTTAGAAGGTTTTAGGACTTACTATATATTGTACTGTTAAGATCTACTGAATAAAGGATGTTCTCTCACTAAAGACCAAGTGTTTTAAGGTTTCAAGAAGTACGCCAAGAACAGTCTTCTTCTGTCATTTGTTTATGAATTTATCCATGTTTGCTTAATGCTTCTGCTAAGTGTTAGCCGAAATCTAGCCATTTATACTTAGTGTGTAAATCTAAATTAAATGCTGTAGTATGTTGTGGAATGTACTATCTATCAAGATCCAGAAAACATTGTTTTGGCATGCCAGAGCCTTATTTGATTAGCAGACTGCATGTGTTGGTATTCTTTAATTTTAAGCCAGTTATTTCGATGCACTGCAAAAGAAATTCATTTTACTAGGTAAATCTGATAAATCCATAATGAGATAGGAATTATAAAAAGTTTACCGTAATATTAATCTTTCTATATTCTCCATTAAGCAGCACTAAGCATTCACACATGGATCCCAGTTAGAGTGTTTTTCTGAAACTTTTTTTTTTTTAGTAAAGTGATTTTCCAGCAAATGGCATTCCCAAGATAAAGCTGTTGTATTTTAACTCATTCCCTTCTTTAGTATTGGGTTGTATATGTGTTTGTTTTTTTTTAACTTGAGAGCTGACTGTTGCTTAAGAAGTATTCTTATGGCAAAAATAATGTAAATAATTTACTGTGATCTGCATTTTTCCAGGAACTCACTTATTATTAAGGTTATCACTTATTAATAGGAATTTTTGTTTTTGTCCTTTATAATATTGCATTAAACTTGGTAACTATTATTGGTACTTTTGAAATATTTGTATGCATTTGTTACCTTAACCATTTGAAAGAAGCACAAAAAAGTAGACTTAGTTAACCCAGGGAAACATCAATTTTTTTGTAGTTCCAATTTTATATGTTTTATTTTCTTATATCAAAAAATGCATTGATACCTCTTAATGCAAATTCATTATTTAACATAAATATCAGAATAATATTAAAGATCTGAAATGAGAAAGGTACTTTTTTAATTTTAACAGTATACTTCTTAGGCTCTCCTTACCAGCTCTAAAAATCTTTTTGGAATAATTCCATATTCCACATTGTGTGGTTTATGAACTGTTTTATCACTAATGTAGCTCCCATGAGAAATGTGTCTCCTACTCTCCCTCTTACATATATATACATATATTTTTTTTCGTACACCAGTAGCATTGTTGTGTTCATAGTCTACTTTCAGAAAGACCATTAATGAAAAGACAATGTATAGTTGACCAGAAATTGAAATGGAAGTTAGCGAACTTGGATTTACTAACTTAATGCCACCATTAACTTAGGTTTGCCACCAAATTATGCTGTAAAGTTCTTTTAAACTCTTGGATGAAAGGTGCTATGTAATGTAAATACAAAGGATTCTTACTAAAGTACAAATATTGCACAACAGACATATTTAAAACCTATTCTCTAGACTTTGAAAAATCTCTCCATCATGACTCCCTAGATTCAAGTATCAAATTGATAATGGGCATCATGGCAGTCTAGAGACACTTGCATGTAAAAAATGTAAATTCATTTTTAGGTGGATAAATGGAAAGTAAAAATAGAAATTATGTTTTAGCTAAAATATAGTGAGTAACTTAGATTTATATTAACTAGCTTCTAATTTGCACAACTAGGACACATCCCGGGACAATTACTGAAAGTTGAAATTTAATGAGTAGGAGGTGGCCCAGTGAAGGTGAATGATATCACAGCTTGACCTGTCCAGGACACTAATATCCTAAAATAGAGAACTTGCTAACTTAAATAGCATATTATTGCTTCTAGTAGAAAATGCTATAGGGCAGCCTATAAAGTACTGAATCTCAGTCAGCTGACCCTGTTAGAGATACAACCAAGGGAACATTTGAGACTGCAAAAATAGGAATATTCTCAATTATATTCATCACCTTCTTCATACCATTTCAAGGAAGGACCAGATAATAACCACATGAATATTTTGCTTGCTCCAAAAGATACCATCAGAAGCAAACTTAGTAGGAAGTCATTCTTTTCCTTTAGATAAACTATGTCTGCCAAACAAAATAGTATGGCCAACTAAAAACTAACTGGGGCCACTTTACTGATTGGGGTCTGACATGCTTTTAATTATATGTCTCTATTCTACATCTACACCTAAGTCCCCTAGAAAACGGAAGAATTCAATATACAGGGTAAGAGCTGCAGCCCAGAGCTCGAGTTAAGGGCTTCAGATCTGGCCATGTGGAAATGTTTGGTCCAAGTGTTTGAACTGGTGGTTACCAAAGAGTTCATGAAACAGGTTTGTATGTAGCACCTTTCATGCAACGCATAGTAAGAGCCTATTTAAATCACTGTGCATATTACAGAATTGCAGCCACCTCACAAATGAAATATTACAGCCTGTAACTTCTTAACAGTTTATGTCAGGAAGTGAAAAGGAAATTGTACCAAATCTGGAATTACAATGAGGAGTAATAATGTATGCTAAATGACTTTTGTATTTTAAGTTACTTATGAGAAAAATGGTGAATTTTTGTGCTTTTCTTTTCTGCTACACTTAGTCCTAAGATGTATTTTTTCTTTAAGCCTTGACTGAATAATACAAAAGGAGCCCATTTTATAATATAAACCTTGATGTACATGTTGAAATATCTGGACAATGAAAATGCCTTAAAAGGAATGCTTATGGATAAAGTTGCACTTACAACACCCTTTAACAAAACCTGATTTTAAATTGTCTTTGTTTTCTACTAAGGGTTCTCTTTCAATGTTTGCCATTGTACTTATAACTGTTATTAAATACCAAATCAAATAATATAAAAGCTGTAACATTTCCTTTAAAAGAAATGCCACTGACGGATTTGGAGTTGAAGAGCAAAATATTTATTACTTGGCAGCACCAAACATCAGCCAGATAAGTCTAGTTTATAACAAGAGACACCATCATCTGATTTATCTTTTTAAAACCATTCATTATTTTTTATTTTAGTTTTTAACTTTATTTTTAAAAAAATTTGGTTGGTTTAACATTCACTTTTCAAACTGATATAAAAATAAAACAAAAGTGATTTTTTATAACAAGTGGTTAGTAATCATTTAAAAATTATAAAGTATAACTTAGCCAAATATTCTTTCCTTTCCCTTTGCCTGGAAAACCTATTTTCAGACATAACCCATAACCCTTTTGGATGATCTGTCCTCATCATTTTGTGATGAGTATTGGAAATTTTAGGAGAAAGAGAATTTAGCAGTTCTGTCACTCCTAAAATAGGTTTAAACATACTAATAGATTGTGCAAATCGGTATCTCTCATTTTCACTTACAGCCTAAGGAGGCAGAATGTTGGCGATGCCAACCAGCCTTGTGTTCTTGGGCAGGTCTGTCTGTCTGGGCCTTTTAATCCACCAAAAGTTGGGGAAGACCAGTTATCTAAGGTCCTCAGTGTCTGATTCTATTCATTAAACCTTATATGCAGAGCAACCTAAAACTTACTCTTTAGAGATATAGTACAGATTAGGTAAAACTAATATGGCAACTCAGAATAGGGTTATCATTTATGGAAAGTATTTCCATAAGATTTCTGCCATGAATAGACTTATAGTTTCTAATCATATATATCAAGAAATGACAAGTTTTTACTTTTATTTTTGCCTTCTAGTAGGAAATCGATATAAACTAAGTATAGTACCTCTACTACATGGAAATTATTTTTTGAGTGATCAAATTTAGGAAAACATGAGAATTTTCATGACAAGACCTCTAGACTATTTTTGTAAGACTACAAAAGACTCCAGACCATCAACTGATGAAGGGTTTTGTTTAATTGAGCTGAACAAAATGTCAATTTCCTATTTTTGAACTAGCTTCTATGTGTCAACTGACAGTACATAATCCTGGGATCTTATACTTTCCTTATGCCATAACTGAAAGGGGATGAGTAAATTTTAATATATCCTAGAAGAAACTTGTTTGTGTTCACATTTGAGTTAACAAAAACTAAAATCCTTCTTAATGGCCTGTGTATATTCTGCTATTGAGTTTTAAAATGTAATTTCATTAGTATAATGATTACAATTTTTCATCCCTACTCTTGTGTTTTTAGATTAATATTTTCTAAAGATATACTTTTTAAAAAGTTAATTTTTTTTTTTGAAAAAGAATTACTGGTTTAAAAACAAACACCCAATAATGGAAGGTTTTAGCTCTTGTCCTTTGTTTTAATTATCTTGCTTAAGAATTCTTATTCCTTAATCCTCATTCTCCAGTGACAACCACTATCAACAATATATTCTTATATTCCTTTTGAT